GCTTCGTCTTGCTTCGGACTTTTCTTTTGATGTACTAATATATCAAACTTAAACTCTGCCAGTGTTAATACCTCGCTCAGTAACCAATATGACAAACTACTCCTGGTCTCTGAGCAACCTCAGTGTAGTTTTCCAGCAAAGTGTCCCTCTGTGTTCATCAGGTTGAAGTCAGGTATGACGTGACGTCAGGTTGTTTCAGGTGTCTGGCTGTGATCCAGATCAGGGGAATGATGGAGGGGAAGTGAGTCGACGGTTAGTCAGCTCCGAGGCGCTCCCTCTGCCTTTCCTCAGGAGTGATTGACAGTGTTTGTCATCAGGTCGCCACGGCGAAAAGAGTCCTGACGCCAGTGAAAGGACGTGAATCATCCACGGATATTTATGAGCTAATTTCACAACAGAGCACAGGAGGAGAAAGAAAGAGAGTAATCCATCAATCAGCGGAGAACCACAGCCATCAGCAGTTATTAATCACACATAAATTAAACTTTTGCAGTCATTGCATTTTATAGACCATAATGATCGAGCGCTCTGCGTTCCTGTAAGAGATCTCAGGGCTTCGATCCAAAAACTCTTAAAACACCAGCTTTAAGAAACGGCTGTCGGCACGTCCTCAACAGGCACTTACAGAAAAATACCGAAAATATATTTAAAATCTGTTCATTTTATTTCATCCACCACAGAGAGGAGCCTGTTATATCGGCAGGGAAATACTCAAATCTTCACCTCCGTAAAATACTAATACTGCACTGTGGGAACATTTCACTACAAGTTAAAGTCCTGCATTCAAAACCTCACTGAAGTAAAAGTCTCTAAATATTATCAGTCAAGTCTGCAGAGAGTAGTAATAGTATGTCCTATTCTATCTTGTGTTTTTGAATTAATACTCCTGCTGCATTAATGTGTTTGTTTTATTTATATATTTTACTGCTGTAGAAGTTTAAAGCTGTCAGACAAATGTTGTGCAGTAAAAAGTACAGTATTGACCTCTGAGATGTCGTGGAGGAGGTGAAAGTTACAGTACATGGAAATACCTAAAGTAGAAGTACTGCAGTTTCTACTTAAGTACAGTACTTAGTTACATTCTGATTTATTTGGGGAATAATGAAGTTTGCAGTCTGCAACACTGTACTGCAGAGGTGAAGACTAAGACTCTCATCACACAGGAAGTGCTTTAGACGTCCTGTGATGGATCTTTAGAGTTCATTACGATCTGAATAAGACCAGTGTGTGGAACCTGTGTCCGGCGGGACGGTAAAACTCTGAGTGAAGGACTCAAGAGCAAATAGTGGGCGCGCATTGGGTGTATTATTAAGGGAGACGTCCTATACACTCATTAAAAAACAGACCCGACCAACCAAATTCAGAATGGTTCAGAGCCAGGGACAAGAGATCCTAGCTGAAATCTCTGACAGAGCCGGTTTTTGAAATTAAACTTAAATGTTGTCTAAGAGCACTTTTTGGTGGCAAGGAGTAGCAGGAGTGATATAAGCCATCACGGCCTGGACCCTTGGCCGTATAGCTTAGGCAGCTATACAAATGTTCTAGCGATAATGACTGTGTATGCAGTGCTCTTAGAGCCAATGTATTGAGCCAGTTTTTATTTTATGTTACTGTATTTTATTATCACTATCATTCTCAATTTCTATTTCCCTTTTTAATTGACTGTTTTTATTGTTTTAAATTGTGTCTTGTTGCTTTTAATGTCTCTGTAAAGCACTCTGAATTACCTTGTGTTGAATTGTGCTATACAAATAAACTTGCCTCGCCTTGCCTTAGCAGCTGGAGGCGGCTTCTTGCAACAGTTTTTAATGAGAATGAAGCTTTTTGCTCGCTGTTTTTTCTACGCGCCTCACGTTTCTGCACTCTAGGCACCTGGCCTATATGCCGGAGCGTTCTGAACTCGTCATCTTTTACCCCATTGTCCAATGGTATGATGTGAGAGGCGGGGCTTCTGTGGTGGTCACGACAACCAGTTTACAGCTGGTAAACAATGGAGGAGAAACTGGTGGTAGTGGTTGCTGGATACCCAGAGCTATACGACTTTACAAAACACAGTTAGCACCATCTCAATAGAAAACAGCAGGCATGGAAGCAGATAAGTGCAGTACTTGAAACGTCCATGATGTCCCTGGACCAACTGGTGGTACTCCCCATGATCCAGCCTCTTTTTTAGGGTCTCATGTCTCTCTGCCTCAACATGGCAGCAACTACACACTGATTACTGCAGGATACAGAAACAGTGAACTGATCACGTGGTAAGGTTAGGGTGAGGGGGTGATGGGTGGTTTCCTGGCATTCAACAGTCCGCATCACGTTTTGTAACCTGCAAAACACTTCCTGTGTGACTGGGGCCCTCACTAAGTACATTTACTCATATACAGTATATTAATTAGATGCAATTTTGTGGTACTGTAATTGAGTATCTCCACCTTCCACCACTTTATACTGTTACTGCACATCTCAGTGGTAATTATTATATTATTCACTGCACACTTGTTTGTTACTTTGCAGATTTTAGATGTAAAATTGATCAGTTATAAATTGTTAAAGATTAAAATATATACAGCAGTCATCATTAAAATACTGCTTACATTTACACATCAATAATTCTGTAATATTCTGATTATAAACACTGTAAGTGATAAATTTAACGTCCTGAATGGAGTCATTTTGCATGATGAGTACTTTCACTGATGTAAGATTTTGTATGCAGGACTTTAACTTGTAGGCTTACTACACTGTGGTATTTATATTTTTACTTCAATAAAAGATCTGTGTAAATCTTCCCCCACTGACTGAACCTCCTGTAAAGTGTCCTCATGTTCCAAATGAAGCTCATAACATAACAAGAGCTCTGAGTTTTATCTGTATTTTGTCAGAAATGGGCTCCTCTCACGCCTCTGTGAGTTTTCAGCGTTGGAGTTGACAGCGACAGATTACTCAGAGTGACACGGCATCATAATTACACGACGTCCCGTCACACGGAGACGATGTGATTTTAAAGAGACACCTGAGGCCTTTCAGAGGAGACACCTGAGCGTCGACCTGTCATTCAGATTTAATCTGACAGATTGTGCAACCTGAGCTCTGAGTCAGCGCGCTCGCTGCTGCAGACAGGACGTGTTTTAACAGTCACGCTCATGTTTTACCAGTGTGGAGATATTAAATCACAGTCAGTATTATTACTGTCAGGAGTGGAGGGAGCACTACAGCATCAGGAGCTGACAGTCGACAGAATGATGTTTTGGAGTTGACAGAAGAAGAAGTAACAGGCCTCTTAATATGTGGAAGCACAGTATCAGAACAAGTTGTCACTGGTGACTATAAACATGGTGTTAAATACTCGAAGTCAAAGTCTAAAGTAAAAAACATCAGAGCAGCAACATGTGTTTGATTATGAAAAGTAAAAGCACTCCTGCAGAGCGGCTCCTCTCAGTGTTAACTGTGTAACTCTAATAAAAATAAGCAGCAGATCCATTCTGCTCAATAAATGAATCATTATATATGAAATGAGGTGTAAGAAAATATTTTTACACTTTAGTATTGATATATTTTGTGATGCTGCAGCGATTCTCAAAAACATTTATTTTTTTAATTTTTAATGAATAGTTTACATACAGAACATATTCGGGTGATGATGGAGGACGGATGGCTGGACTGAGGCAAAAAGTTGGCACAAAACACAAAATAAACCACTGACACAAATCTTTGCATCTAAACTATTGCGTATTAATATTTTCTCACACCCCTGATAGTTTTACTGTGACATGTAGCACTGACCACAGTACAAACCAGTCACCTGATAAATGTTGGCGTCATACATGTCTGCAAACCACAGATACGTTATATCTGTTAGTATGTAGAAGACATGTTGAAACTCTGTGTTTCTTTACGTTTCAGCAACACTGTCGTAAATGTACGGTGAGATATCGACAAGCTAGAAGTCCAATCAGTTTATTCTTGAGTCCAAGTGGATGTTTGTGACAAATTTGAAGATTTAGAAGGTGCTCTTGAGATAAAACGTTCATGAGAATTTTGGCAGATGAGGTCATAATGACCTTTGATAATCAAATTCTATTCACTTCACATTTGACTCAAAGTGGAAGTTTGTGCTCAAGTTTAAGAAGTTGCTTAAAGATGTTCTTATCACGTTCACAAGAAGGAAAGGGACGAAGGTCACAGTGACCTTTGTTTGTGAAAATCTGAGGTTCAGTTCATCCGTGAGCCCAAGTGAACATTTCTGCCAAATTTTGAAAAATCCCTCAGATGTGTTCTTAAGATATTCTGTTCACAAAAATGAGACAGTCTCACTCTGAGTCCAAGTGAACGTTTGTGCCAAATTTGAAGATTTTCCCTCAAGTTATTCTTGAAATATCACATTCACAAGATTGAAAATGACACAAGGTCACAGTGACCCTGACCTTTGATCACCAAACAGATGTTTGTGCCAAATTTGAAGCAATTCTGTTGGGGTGTTCTCGACATATCATGTTCATGAGAATGACTCGGACCGACAGACAACCTGAAAACATAATGCCTCTGGTCACTGATATCACTGGTGCAGAGGCATAAAAACCACTTTGTTATGGTTCGGAAGATTTCAGGTTTTGGGGGCACAATCCTGACAGGAAACACGATCCTGACAGGAAACACAATCCTGACAGGAAACACACCAACAGTCGCCAAAAAACAATGGTGTTCAATGGCTTAAAAGCTGTAGGAAGAGTGGTCTGCAGCTCGTCAGGCTTTTCGCCAAGGTGCCACGCCCTCTCTGATGACACATTTTGCTCATATATGATGTCACTTTAGAAATATGATCTGTATAAAAGGTACAAATGTAACATTTCTGTGATTTGCAGAAACGTATAACGCCAACATTTTCTTATAGTGACTGAGCTGCACGTCGTCATAGATTCTCCCAGTTAAACTAATAAAATCTGAAAATATTAATATTAATATTTTACCTGTATGAAGACACACCTGTCTCTGTCTGTCTGCAGGTGAAGGTTTGGTTTCAGAACCGCAGGACAAAGCACAAGCGGCAGAAGTTGGAGGAGGAGTCTCCTGAAGCTCAGCAGAAGAGGAAGGGCAGTCAGCACGTCAACCGCTGGAGAGCGGCCACACAGCAGCCTGGAGGAGGAGGAGGAGGAGGAGGAGGAGCAGTGGAGGACGTGGACGTCCTCAGTGAGGACTAGACTGCAGCAAACACAAACACACACACACACACACACACACACACACACACACACACACTGTTACAGTCACTCTGATTCGTGTCAGACGTCTAAATTTACCTTTAAAGGTGCGTTCAGGTGCTTTTTACATGTTTAAATATAGCATATCAACGGTTAGACTCACAGGAGGATGAGCTAACGATGCTAACAGGAGGATGAGCTAACGATGCTAACAGGAGGATGAGCTAACGATGCTAACACAAGTCTCTAAACTTCAGCTGTTGATTCAGTTTTTCCTCCTTTAAACGAAAGTAAAGTCCATTATGAACATGGATTATTATAAGTTTAATTTCTCTGTAAAATCAACCATGGTCAAACTGAGGCCTGAACCGCTGTAAAAAAATTAAGTTTTTTAATATTATGATATAATATTATTTATATATGTGTGTAATATTAATATTGTTAATATTACACACAGTGAGAACTTCACTCTACCAACAAACACTTAGCTGTAAAATAAACAGCTCTAAATCATAAAGTAAGTCTAAAGAAATAATAAAAACGTGTCACTTTAAAATCTCCTGAATCGTTCAATAGAAAACACCAGAACATAAATGTGCACGAACCTGGGTAAAAGGCACTGAACGCACCACGAGGCCAACTTCAGCTCTGTGTGCCACTGATGTGAAGCACTGATGATGAGGATGAGAATATTCTGTGAGAGGGGAGAGAGATATGAGCTGTAATGACTCTGTAAGATTTAAAATTCATTAACAGTAAACGTGTAACTGATGGTGTGAGTGAGCAGAAAGTCCCTGAACGCCTCCCGCAGCTGAGAGCAGAACAAACTCAGAACTGTTGTCCTCTCAACAAACTTTATTTGTCTGAAAACAAGTCTGTGAAGAATCCAGTCTCTGCAGGACGGTCACAATAATTAACACAAATTCAGTGAATTATTTCATCCAACCAAAACTTTACTGCAGATTAGATCATTTAAAACAGGAGCTGCACGCATCGTATAGATTAGCTCAGCTTCTCCTCTGTACCTGGGACAGAGTAACACACACAGTGACAGGGCTAACTGTTAGCATCTCACGGCTAATGTCACCCAACGGTTAATAACAGCCGCTGCTGCTGTGTTAGCTCGTGCTAACAGAGCAGGAGGAGAGCGGCTCATGGAGACGGTCCTTCAGCGCTGTGTTGAATGGCAGCAACAGCTGATTGTTGGCGTTCAGCTGTCATCACAAATAGATTGTAAGGGTACGGTCGCATGTGAGCAGCTGCAGGGGCGTGACCATCGTCTGCTGAAGCCAAGTACGCCGCATGCGGAAAGCTAACTCGCTAATAAATACTGCGAAATCTGATGTTAATTTTCCCCAATGTTACGTTTCACGCTCGTCTCCTGACTCACTGCAGCCAGGCTGCTTCTCTCATGTCGGGCACTTTGTACCTTTCATGGACAATATCACACAACATCGGCAGGTTAGACAGGAAAACACTTGGTGCTTCTCAGAGTCGAGGAAGGATCTTTAAACGTCTGAATTTCATGACGGTGACGTCACTGAATCCCACTGAAGGACTGTTGTAATGTCAAGGATCCTTTGAATTCTTCCAAGGACCGAGTCCTTCCTCCAGACAGATTAAAGGCGGGGCCCAGGGTTGCAGCAATATTACGGTTTTAAAGTATACTGTGATTTAAAAGTTATCATTAATATTTGAGTTATTTTCTCAGGGGAGACTTTTTACACAAACTTTCAGTTATTGTAATAAAACGTTTGTTCAACCAACAATAACTTTTCTGTTTTCATCCCTTTGAGGATCATTCTGACTGATGATAAGAAATAATTCTGTAATACCGTGATATTTTCTGAGACCCTAGCGGGGCCTCTTCAATGACACACACGTGTTCTGATGTGTGTTCACTGAATGCTAGGAAGGAGTCTGGCCTCTGTAGGATCTGACTTGGAAGGATCCGTCCTACAAAGGAAGCATCCTTGACTTTAAGAAGCACCGAGCATCTCCTCCACACAAACGTCTTTGCTGTTGGTTGAAGCTGCAGCGTCACCGGTCAGAGTTCACCAAAGTTGAAATCCAGGTGATGCAAAGATGCGATTTTGCTTCGCCATCAGAAGCAAATGTTTTCTCACCCCTCTGCTCGCACTGAAAGGAAGTGAACAGAAGGCGAATATTCGCTGGTGTTAATTTCGCTCATGTGTGACTGTACCCGAATTCTCTACGGATGAATGAAGGCTCTTAGTTAAAGGCGTGGAGTCTGAGACAGCATCGCAACTATTTCTGCAATTTTCACTTGCTCCTGCAGTTTTATTGCAGGAGCAACAATCCCAGAAACACCCGGTGAATTCCTGGAGGGACTGAAACATTAATCATAGGTAACGAGGAGGAAAAACTAAACACTGAGGCCAGTATCTCTGACTGTGATATTTTCTCTGGTTAAGTCAGAAAGTTCACAGTTACACTGATGACTAAAGTTCAGTGACCTCAGGTCCTGTCAAACATCAGCCCAGGCCTGAATTTCAAAATAAAACCTGATGTTGCAACATGACATCATCTCCTCTCTCTGATTTCAACACTTGAACAAAACAAATGTCGTTCTGACTCATGTGACAGGAATCAAAACAGACCTCAAAATGGAAAGTTACCAAAACTAACTCCAACAGATCACCGTCCTGAAGCACAGACGCTGTGATGCCAGTGTTGTAACAGTAGCTGCAGACCAACAGACAGGTGGAGGCGTTTCCTGTTCACACGTTTGCCAAAAATGATTTGGCATCATCGGCGTGATCACAATCTGTCAGAAACATCTGCAGGAAATCAGATCTTTACTGATTAGTCTGATTACAGCTCAAATCTCTCAGAAACAGACTCAAGGTTCAATAATCTGTCGCAGTAAAGTGATAAAAATAAAATGTAAAAATTAATTACAGTCACATAAAGACTTTTATTACATCCTACTCAGATTTATAGAAAACACATACACACACACACACGCACACACACACACACGCACGGCAGCACACATGACCAACACTCACACACACGGATGTCAACAGCTTACCTTTCCAAGGACTGATGGATGTCCCTGAATGCATCGCGCTCATGCAACAAGAGGTCAAAACTCTCTGTGACAGACGAGGATAAAAAACAAAACTCTGATCAGCCACGAAGGAGGAGCTCAAAAAAAACAAACTGTACCTTCCTGTCAGAGTCGGACTGACGAGGAGACTTGACGCTTCCGAGAGGCGAAAATAAAAATAAACAGGAGTCCAAACGTGGTCACAGCTGTTGACTGAACACTCTGTGGTGGATTTTTGGTGCCAAACGAAAGCCAGCGTTCCTGAAAATAAAATTTAAAAAAAAAAAAAAGAGAGACGATTAAAGTGAGAGGAGAAGCTGGTTTCTGAGCGTCTGTCTGCAACAGACGGCCACCGGCTCGCAGGAAATCTGCTCAGCTGAGAAACATGTCTGAGAGAGGAGGAAAATAAGGTTCCTCCAGCAGGAAGAAGAAACACAGGGTGGTGTGAGGTGGAGGAGTTGGACAGGAAAGTTCTCTGTAACATTTCTCAGATAAAGTTCAAAACAAGAGTCCACCTGAAACACATAAACTCTGTCAAAAAGTATCTGGCTGTGATGGTTTTATTTTTATTCTCCAGGCTCTGTTTGGTCTGAAAATTCATTTGACTTCAAAGTCGATTTTTCAACATGTTGTTGTGTCGAAGTGACGAATCAGAACAACTGTTTCTGAAACCGTCCAGTGGTGGGTCAAACAGTCAGTGTCCACTCACAGTGTTTGTGTTTGTCACTGACAGGATCAGACTGTTATTCTGAGTGTGTGACATCACTATGAAAGGATCCCTACAGAGATAGAGCTTTGTGTTAAAGAGTCAGATCCTTTGTGTTGAACCAGAAACAAATAAATAAATAATTTAAACTTATCATCATTAAACACACTTCACTCAGAGTCAACAGAAACACAGTCAGACTCACAGAAACCATCTTGGTTCATCTTCCCACTGTTCCAACAATCACCAGCTCTGGTTTGGTTTAAATGAACCCTTAATGCACCAGTTAGATGTGACGACATGCTGCCTCTATACACACTAACATGACTGTGGATCTAAATGCAGTCTGGTGGGTTTGGTGACGGTGATTTCAGGACTGTTTCTGGTTGAACCAGGGGTCGGCAACTGTTACTGTTAAGAGTCATTATTGGTCAAAAAAAGAGGATAAAAATCTGTCTGGAGCTGCAAATTATACTTGAATAAAGACATTACAAAGAGGTCCAAATGAACATTCGTTATATGATTTACTACAATATGGCGACTCTTCAGTGGGTTATTTATAATTATTTAATACTTTAGCTTTGCAGCATTGGTGGTGAGAGCAAATGAATCTGTCCATTTAGAGTAAAGGCAGCAGGTCGTAGACGTGTGACACACATTTTAATTGATGAAATATTAAAGCAATTTTTAATTCGATGTACAGGCTGCACATTTTTACAGCTGTAATACACAATAATCACTTCAGGCCTATAACAGTGACAAATGAAAATCTGAATGTTAGAAAATAACTGTTGTTCATTTCAATATAATTTTACGTCAAAGCCACAAAGAACCAATGGAGAGGCTCTGAAGAGTCGCAGGTTGCCGACCCCTGGGTGAAACAAAAAGGACTCTTTAACACAAAGCTCTATCTCTGTAGGGATCCTTTCATCATGATGTCACACACTCAGAATAACAGTCTGATCCTGTCAGTGACAAACACAAACACTGTTAGTGGACGGACACTGGCAGATGAACACATTGCTCAGTACTGGACCAATTTCTAAAATTGTTGTTGTTCCTCTCAGTCACTGTGACACACAACTCCAGGAAGTTGAGGTCCAAGATGAAAAATAGCAACGTTCCCCTTTGAGTACGGTGAAACATCAGATCTTGTCAGTTCTTGGTGGCGTCCTCACGCTGGGTGAAAACAATCATAGAGACATGAGGACACCCTGACTTCACCCAGACTACGTTCTGTAATTAGACCTGTTTATTTCACTCAGTCCTGTGCCCATTAATCACTAACAGTATGTTTTAATTCTTTTTTCTTTTTCATCTTTTAAAAGAAAGTATCACACCTATCAGCGAGGTCAGACTCACCTCCTCACTGAGGTCAAAGTTTCTGTCCCTTCTGTCCTCAGATGTTTCTCTGATGGAGATATTCAGTCAGGAGCTCTCTGTGTATGGACGCACATTAATGCCTGTGTGATGCAAAAAAACATCCTGTGGCTCATTTATGCTCAACGTTAGATACGGACACAAACAGAGGCTTGTATGAAAAGTTCCATATAAATAAAGTTGATTTGATTTGATTTTGACTGAAAGCTCCAGGGAGTCTCATCCAAAGGCTAAAGGGCATCCTTACACTGCCTGAGCTGTGAGACCAGGCTGCACAGGACACTGAGATTATTACTGGTGTTAACTTTTTGGCTTTATGAGTTGACAAAGACCACCTGAAGGTTTCTACGTCACGTCCAGGGCTGGAAATTAACATTTCTGTCTACCTGCCTCAGTGACTGCTGGATTCTGAAAGTTACAGTCCCTCCATAGATTACAATTGTTTGTTTTTTCTGGAGTGAAACAAATCTATCAGCTTTTTGCATATTTTACCAGCGTTTGGCTGGTGCTAATTTCCAACCCTGGTTACGTTTATACTCTGTTTTGTTTTTGGTGAAACGTGCAGAACATCACAGGCTGACGATATCTAACAAGTGAAGGTTAATTAGTGGATTAAAAGTCAAACTTCCTGCTGGAGGAACCTGAAGTCTTTTGTCTCCACACAATTTTATTCATTATTATTCTATATTTTTATCATCGTCAGTAAATCCCATGTCCGACTCTGAGTACTGTCTGACTTCCTGTCTGCTGCTCTCAGCTCAGAGCTCATTGGTTCCTCCTGAAGATCTTTAAATCACAGATATAAATGTTCATCAGTGATGTCCTCAGACAGCTGCTCACCAGAGTTTTTATCAGACAGTGACTCTGTTGGGGACTATTTTCAGTGGCGGATTAATCCTTTTTAATAAACAGTCGTTCCCCCTGCAGGATGATGGCGCTTGTTTTCCACTGAGCGCTCGGCGGCGTGTTGTTCTCAGCGGCACGGTATCAGAAACCAGCTGATCACGTCTCAGTCTGCTGGTAGTTTTTTGTCTTTTTGGAAACAAATGTAGGTATTTATGTAAAAAATGGATTGAAAGTATTCTATGCATCTGACGTGTATATAATGATAATAATAATAATAATTATAAAGTGTGGACTGTTTGTTTCTCTCACTGCATCCGTTCATCTGTTGGTTTCTTCTTCCTGGACAGATTTACCTCATCATCTCCTTATGTAGCACTTCTTCTTCTTCTTCTTCTTCTTAGTCAGATCTATTTTTTCATCGTTTTAGGATCCAATGCACTAACTGTACCACTCCTCTCACAAAGGGACAAAAAAATGACAGAAGCTTTGTACTTCCTGTGTTCAGATTTGGAAAAAATATAAATAAAATGAGATGAAATCAAATGTTTGGTTGTTGTTGGAAATCTGCTGACGTGACGTCATAAAGAAACAGAAAGAGATTCTTCCTCTGAACGTGTTTCCTTTTCAACTCTGAAGACAGACGGCGTCACGTGTTGTGATTTATAGATTTTGGGGCTTTTGAAGTAAAACTGATTAATAAATGTGCACATTATTGATGTGGA